TGAGAATGTGGATTTGAAGAGAATAAAAATCCAAAAGAGATTCAATGTGAGAGATATTGTGTGTGATCGTGTATGACGTATTTTCGTAGTTTGGTGCTTGTGTGATCAAGCTTATTTGGGGTGTTGGTATTGACGTACGTGTTGGAGTGTTTTGGTGATCGTTTAGTTCGTTGGTGTGATGATTCGTGTGTGGTGGTTATTCCAGAGACTTGGAGAATTGAAGTTTAGGCTCAGAGGGAGTTTAGCTCAAGATAAGGTTATCCTAATTAAATCTAAACTCATGGGAGTTTAGTTAGGATAGAGATTTATCTTTAAGATTTCATGTAATTAGAATGGAGCGGTGAATCAAGAAGGTGTTGCTTGGTTTACGCGTTTGCGATTTGGTTGTATTTGCTTTCTTGTTCAAGTGAAATCAAAATCTGAACGTGGTCTCGGAGAGTAAGAAAAACCGAACCTCGTTAACAAATTTTTTGTCTCGTTTACTTTCTGCACTTTATTGTTACCTTACTCGTACTTATAAGTGGTATCAGAGCAGATTTTTTATAGAGATTTAGTCTTGTTTCAGGTAGATCATGGTAAGGTTCAAGATATCATTCAGGAGATCATTCAGGAGATCGTTCAGGAAGTAAAACAGAGCTAAGAATCATGTGTTATGGATTCATACAACTTAGGAATGCTTGGTCTAGGAGATAATCATTACAAAGATGGTGCAATGGGGTTTCATCCTTAGTTTCGATGGAGGCGGCCCTTGAATTAGTTTTTGACCATGATGTGACTCAAGTAAGGGGAGATTGGTGTTGGTAGGTTGTTGTGTTACTAGTGATGAAGTCATTGAAGCTAGAGTTGTTGAGTTCACATACATAGTCAAAAAGGGGGAGAATGTTGATGCACTTATTTGGTGTTCTGTACTAGTCGTCGAAGTAGTACATGAACTAGTACCAGTGGCGGATGCAAGAAGGAGGGAGTGGGGTCACATGACCCCTATAAATTTTATATATTATGTTATTTTTAGTGTAAATTTGATTGAATTTGAGGAAATATTTGGTTAACATTAGTGTTTGACCCCTATAAATTTTTGTTCTAACTTCCAAATGACCCCTTTAATTCATATAATTTTCAATTTATTATCCATCATAATTTTTTTATTTTATTTTGACCCCTATAAAACTTGTTTCTAGATCCGCCACTGACTAGTACTAGAAGTCATTCAGGAAACTAAGAAGCATAATTGATGATGAAGAGCTCGAGTACTTGGATGTAGGAGCGTCTGTTAAGTCAGAAAAAAAAAATTTATCTTTGTTTGAAGACAAAAGAATTATGTATGCAAAGGGGGAAATTTGCTTGAAGTGAAAAAGAAATTGGTAAAAAGGATAAATCCTTTTCCTTATGAAATTTGGAAATATGTCTTATTTGTGATTGGAAAAACTTGAGGTGCAAGTTTCTATTTGTTATATAAGGGAGACGTGACCTTATGAGAATGTGGATTTGAAGAGAATAAAAATCCCAAAAGAAATTCAATGTGAGAGATATTGTGGGTGATCGTCATGGGCGGATCTACGTAGTGGAAGAGGGGGGCAGCTGCCCCGGTAAAATATCAATTTTTTTGTACTTTTAATGATTTCAATAAAGATTTATTAAGTCAAAAGGTAAAATGAAGCAACTTGCCACCCATTAAACCATGATCAGATCCCACCATGCCCTTTTTTATTTTATTTTTAATTCATTTTCATTCCTTTTTTACTTATTATCTTCCCTAATCTTGGCATTAATTGTTTATCTTTCTTATTCTAGACTTAATATTTCCAAAATCAATATTATTTTCATTTTGTTTAGATTGGTTTTTCTTTTCTTATTTAGCTTTCTCTTAAATGTCTTTTCAATGTAGAATTTTTATTGGTTTATTCCAAACAATGTTATAATGTAGCAATATTAAAAAACTAAAAAAGTATATGATGAATTATTATTTTTTATCTTGAAAAGTCGGTATAGTATTTTGCCCCCAGTAAAAATGTTTCTAGATCCGCCACTGGTGATCGTGTGCGACGTAGTTTCGCGGTTTGGTGCTTGTGTTATCAAGCTTATTTGGGGTGTTGGTATTGACGTACGTGTTGGAGTGTTTTGGTGATAATGTGGTTCATTGGTGTGATGATTCGTGTGCGGTGGTTTGGAGAATTGAAACTTGAAATACAAGACCCTAGTTAGTTTAGTGTTAACTTTTTAAATGCTATGTAATTAATACAAATAACTTTCTTTCTTTTTTGCTTTATCCCACACAAACGGCTTTTTAGCCTATATATAACCTATATATATCACATATAGTCTATAATATTATGGTGCTATAAATTCTTGTTATTTGTCAAATATAAATTTAGTAATTTCAGAATATAATTTATATACTATATTCATTTTGAATAATTATATAATTTGTTATGAACAATATTCAACTTGTCGAGAAAGATGGCATGTTCGTCTTATCTGATTAATACGTAGAAAATGTCCCATGTGATCCCTCGAGTGTTCATGCACACACTCTCACGCAATCACCACCTTTCTCGTACATCTGTTATCTCTTTAAAGATAGTTAGCAAAAAAAGAAAAAGAAAAAAAAAATCTCTTTAAAGAAATTAGAAATACACTAGGAAAGACATAGACATTAGTTTGTACGTAGTTGTGTGAATGTCAAGAGGCACATAGAATGGAAACTATTGTTTGGATTGGATCTGGAAGACACAGGAGGTTTAAAAAGAAAAAATTGGTAAGCATTTTAGTTGTGCTTTATCCAGAATAAAGTAATTAACAACATTGTTCGACCCCAAAAAATATAAAGGGTAAGGTAATTAGTCATATCTTATGATAATAACTAATAAGAATCATATGTGTATATAAAAAATATGGTATCCAGAAAGACATAAACTAACAAGAAAAATAATTTGTGGTTTGTTGATCAAAATGGGCATTAAGTATAGACCAATGGGAATATCTAATATTTGTTATACCAATTTATCAAAATTTGACTAAAATTTGTTATACCAATTTGACTAACATTTTTTATAACAATTTGACTAAAGTTTGTTATACCAATTTATCAAAACTTGAAATATCCAAAAAAACATTGACTGCTCACATGACCGAATTTCTTAATGTGTAATTTTTTTTTTTTTTAACATCTAGCTTTTCTTTCATTAACCGGTGTAGGGGTGATACAAATAGTCAACCAGCCAAGATGGTGGTGTAGTGAAAATGTGTATAATGTGTCATTGTCTAAAGTACTACTCCCTCCGTTTTCGAATAGTTGTCGTTTTAGAGTTTTTTTTTTTGTTTTAAATTAGTTGTCGTTTTAAGGTAATAATGTAATTTATGCCAATAACTACCCAAATTACCCTCATTTTATTGAACACAAATTATTTGTAAATAATTACTTGTCTTTTTTATGAGGTTAATATAGTCATTGTATATATTTTCTTAATTTGTCCAAATACAGTTAAAACGACAACTTTTAAAAAACAGAGGGAGTATTTCTTATATACCAATTAAGGGTTGGAATTTTTTCTATATTTTTGGATTATGTTCAAGTATGGTTCGTTTGTTAATTTAGTTGTGAAATTCAAAGATAAATTTCAATTTCTTCGGTTAGATAATATCTTATGTTTTTACATATGTTAAATTTGATTAAAATAAGATAATACAGTAGAACCTCTATAAATTAATACTCGATAAATTAATAAACACGATAAATTAATAAATTTGGCCGGTCCCTAGTCGGGCCAATGTAAAAATTAACCAAATTCGATAAGATAATAAGATAATAAATTTTTTGAAATCTCTATGTAAAAATATAGTCCCAGTAATATCATAAATTAATAATCATGTAATTTTCACACATATATATATATATAATAGTTTTAGTGTTTTTCATAAAAATAGCCGAAAGCTTTTGTAAGTTTTAAAATTTTGAATATGCATAATTTTTGTTGTAATAGTCTTATATGTTTTTAAAATACAACAATGAATGTCTTTGTGAATTTTAATTTATGTATATCGTTTATATATGTGAATTCTATAATCGTTGTTGTTCATTGTCAAAATAAATTATTTTTTTTCGAAATATTAAGTGTTTAAGGCTAAAACTATAAAATTTATAACATCCAAAACATTAATCTTAGTTAGATCACATTGCTTTAGCTCGTATTTTTTTTTAAAAAAAAATTCACAATTGAAACAAAACTTTCGATAAATTAATAAATATTAATTTACGTTATAAATTAATAATTATTAATTTATAGATAAATTAATAAATATTAATTTACGTTATAAATTAATAATTATTAATTTATAGATAAATTAATGTCACTATAAATTAATAAAATATCATGATCCCAACCCCTGTTCTAAAAATCCCCGCCTAACCCCGATTATTCCCCGCTTAATCGCTAGGCCCACCCTCTCCGCTTCGATTAATGACTAATCCCCTAAAAAATCAGTAACCCGATTATTCTCCGCCTAATCCGATTGCTTCCCGCCTAATCCGATTATTTCCCGCCTAATCTTACATACTCCGATTATTTTTTAGATTGCAAGTATAAAAAAAACATTTTATTTTTGTTATTCAATCATTTGAATTGGGAGTTTGTGATGTTTTACATAACTTGTGTTCAAATTTTAATAAAAATCATAAAAATTTGTTTTTATTGTAATTTTGAAAACAATATTGGATTAATATATTTTAAACATATTAAAATAACCCTAAAACTAATTCCCGATTAATCCCCGATTTTAATCCGATTTTCCGATTAATCGCTAGGCCCATGCCGAGCGCCCGACTAGCGCCTAGCGATTTTTCAAACAATGATCCCAATATTATTAATTTATAGAGGTTTTACTAATAAGTACACTTATTCAAAAAAAATGGCCCCGTAATCTTTAGCTAAAACTGTCCGATATAAGTATATTTAGCTCGGTTTAGTTTTGGTTTGGTACGGTTTAGTTCGGTTTAATGCTCAATCCTATCGAGAAACAAAAATCTAACAACCTTGGTCGACGTTACCCTAACACCTCTCTTTCAATCTCCGATCAAATCCAAACGCATTCTTCCGATTTCGCCGGAGAAGATGCAGCAGAGAAAGCCGACGGCGGGTAGACCCAGTGGTACCGATGGATCCGATTTCTCATACCGCATGGTCGTTGACTCTCGTAAGTTTCCAAAATCCCAAGTCTCCAGATCCTATTTTCTCTCGATTTCTTCTTGATCCATTCGTTTTCTTTTTGTTTAAGGTTACACGAAGGTCACTAAAGAAAAAGCTCGTCTCCGTCCTTTGATCTTTGTTCAGGTACTTTCGTTTTCCTTATGTTAGAAACCGAATCTCTTTGATTTTAGATTGATTAGTCTAGAATTCGATTTTGTGATGCATTGCAAAATGTTACATCCTTGAGCACTGAATTTATCATAGAAGTAGTTTATGTGATCAGGTTCTCACAATTGCAGTCTCACATTCGTTGCTTTGTTCTCATTGAGATTGTAGTGTTCTTGAAGTTGTGTAGCCTTAGTTTAAATAGTTCGATATTCTCTTTTTTAGCATAAATCTTTTAGGTTTTTGCTTGCAGGCTGCGATTTATTTAGTCGGATTATCGTGTGCGTTTCTGACAACGACTAAAAAGGATGAGAGGAACACCCTTGCAATTGCAGCAGCTGCTGCTGGCTTAGTGTCTTCATTCATAGGAGAATTAGGTTAACACTCTCTTCTTTGTTGTTTTGCCGGTTACGCATAACGGAAAGTTGTATCCTTTTGTTTTGGTTTCTTTATATATGTTTGTTGTCTCTGTTGGAAAAAGGTTGTAGACGCAGCAGAGTAAACCTTTTGAGGCTCTATACGGCTGCATCTACCATTGTTATGGTTCTTTCAGTGTTTTGTGCTGTTAGGAGCAGATTAACTATGGAGGTAAATCGACTAACTTAAACAAACTTTACTCTTATATTATTGATTTATATACACTGCCATTTTTTTGTCGGCATCATTAGTCTTTTGGCTGATAAGCTTCTATTAGTTAGAAATACATGTAAAGGATCAGGTAATGAGGATTATACTTTTCTAGTCATGAAAAAATGGTTGATTGTGGTTGTAATAGTATCACAGAATATGAAATTAAGCTTGACGTTGATACTATCACCTGACTCTCAATAAATGTTGTAGGAACGGAATAGCACTGGAACAACCGCGAAGCTTGAGCTCGCAGGTTTCATTTGTGCTCAATTTGGTAAAACTTCCTGAAGATTCTCTTCGTTTCTTTATTGTCTACAGTACACGTACTTGCAAGCTTGGGTTGCATATTCCGGGATTATGGATCATTCGGGTTTTTTGTTGAATGCAGGAGCGGTGGTGCAGATATTAGTGATCATCGTTACGGGGTCCCTTGTCAATAATATGTCTCCGCCTACAAAAGCAGCATAGAGGAACATAAAACTTGGGCACTGTCGTGTGTGCTTCTCTTACATGAAGAAGAAAACTTAGAATTTGTAAGTTTTGAACCGTTGTTTTCTCCACCAAATGATTAGTGTTATATTATATATACAACGTTGTTTACTTAAACTTTTCAATTAATCATTCAAAAACACATTTCTCATTGAGAGATGTACCAAATAAGTCCTTTAAATAGCACATCGGAATATAATTCTCTTAGAGAACATGCAGGTCTGAATGGTGACATAATGCGGTAAAAAAATTCTTAGCCGTAAAAAAGCGGTAAGAGATATTTTCATAGAGAGAAACGATAAGGAATATATGTAAGAGATGTATGTAAAGTTTACCGTCTTTTACTTTACCGATTTTGTGATTCGTACTGACAAACGCAGCCGTTACCGTTGTGGGTTGCAAATCTTATCCCTTTGATAGTTTCTTAATCAAAATGTTCTTTTAATTAAAAATGGGTTTACATTGATTATCCAATAGTTACGTTCTCATGCGTAACGATTCAATTCATATAGAAAATAAAATAATTCATCGGCCGGTAACTACATGAAGCAATATAAAATTAGGCAAATATTAGAGGACGATAAATGTTATAATTAAAGAGTGTTGTATGAGACTCACAGTCATGTTGTTTTCCAGCCAAGAACACCAAGTGGCCCATGTTGATGCTCCCTTGCCAATTATCTCCTCATATATTCCATTCTATTGATGTACGTTTTTTTTCAATTTATTCCAAAATTAGGAAAATCGTTTTCTATGATAATCAGGGTTCCTACGTGGAAGCCGTACTTATCACATGATCTTTGGTTACTAAGTGAATATTATTGCGACGGTCTATTATTGTATCATGATCCACAGTCAGCTAGAAAGCTGAAATCTCCTTGTTACAACTATTGGATTGAACTCAAGTTCGTATCTTTGTAATAGCATTATTGAAATGTCAACTAAAAATTAGCGATAATAATGTTACGCATCCTTAGTAGTTAATACGTTACAAAAGGTGATAGGTGAGTCTCAATAAAAGAAGTAATTAGATAGTACTTTGTAAGTAAGTAGTAAATAAATTGCATTCGCAATAACATAGAACATTCGAAAACACTCTAGGCATGTTCAATGGATCCGCGTCACCCGCGCAAATAGTTTGGAGTTTGTACTTGAACCTTGTTTCTTGAAGTTGGGATCACATAGAAAAACTTCCAAACCGTATTTGAACATAACTAAGAGAAGATTCTCATCATATTCATACCACTTTTTGTCTTAGTTAAG